TTACAAGAAGAACTGCCAACTCTTTGAGCCATGTCATCTGAAACTCGATGAAAAGAAAATAAAGTTTTTAAGTAAATTAAATGACTATAATTTATCTTTTTTTCTCTTCTCTATTTTCCATCTTACTTCCACTGAGATGTGGCATATGGTTCTTCAGCTATTACTATTTGTCATGCTTTTATTTATTTTCATTGCAAAGGTTTCAGAGGCTCACATTTCCGGCCTATCCTAAGGGAGTCCTGTTTCCACATTCTCAATTTTTTCCAGAAGTGATTTGTAGAGTAAATAAGCATGTTATTCTAAGAGCAGCCATATAGCTGTCATTAACATGCTATAAATTAGCCCAGTTACCAGTACAGCAAGGCGATATATAGCGTGGAAATCATTACTTTCTTACTGTTCCCACTCTTATAATTCAATTATTAGTACTCTGTGTTTGCTAATTCTTGTAAGCCAGTTATAAGCGTGTATTTTTGATTAATCTTTTTAACATATCCCCGAAGAAGGTATAGAAAACAGCTTTGTCATTTAGATTTTTTTTACCCAGGCATAATATAGATTTTTGTTTATTAAATGCTCAGAAACATATGACACAGACATTACTAAATATCACTGATCAACCTTAGTTTGGGAAGGCATTTCTCTTCTTGATCTTTTTCCTTCTATTTTTTTCTCAGCATCTGATTGTGTACTTGATGATATTAAACACAACATGCTTATCCCCTTTCACCACCACATGTCACATTTGTACACATGGTTCTCTTCACACATGGAGCATTCCTTGCTAACGACTCACTGGAGGTTAGCAGCAGTTAGACGGCAATGTGTTTTCCATTTGAACCACGGTTCACTTAGAAACTGATACTGGGTGATGTCTCAGAACCTGCCCATGCCCCTTGTGATCTGAATAAGAAGAAACAGATTAAACTTGAAGGAACAAATACAAAGATTAAAGACTATTACATTCAATGTTGATTGGATAGGAAATATCAGGGAGCAGGTTTGTCTTTTCTGATGAATGTAATATACATAGAATATAAGTAGTGCAGTTTTTTTACATTTAAATTCTTTGTTATTTATTATATGTTATATTAGATACATCACTGCTGCTTTTCTATGACTCTCTCTGCATTCATGTTTGTAATGATTTCACAACACGCTTTGGTCTAAGAAGTGCCGCCTGATCAGTTTTGTAGCATTTCGCTAAATTAACACAAGATTCTTTCCACTGAAGAAATAATCATTTAACATCAATAATCAATCAACATTCAATCAATGGCCTGGCTCCTAATGCCCATAGCATAACATTGGTCTCAGCATGTTTGACAGATGATGTGATATTCGTCAGATCACAAGGTGTTTATTTACTTTTCCATACTTTTCCCTTTCAAATATTCTGATATAAGTTAATCTTGGCTTCATCTGTCCTCCAGACCAATTAGTCCAGCTGAGATGGTCAGGGCAATCATTCTTTTTAAGAATGTACCACGGTGTTGATTTGTCCATTCGTAAAGTTGACCTAACTCTGATTAAAGTTTTAATCTCTATCATCGGTTTATTTGGGGCTTTCAGCCTATTGATGGCCTCCTTCAATTTCACTGATATTTCTTCAGACCCTATAGTGAGAGTTCTAGTGGAAAGCAGTCAAGTTCAACACTTGCATTCGAGTCCAGATCTTTTATCGGATTAATTTGTCATGAAACAACAATGGCCTCATCTCATGAAACTGCTTATCAGTCTATTGTTCACTTACTTTTGTGTGTCTGGAAATGAGTTAAAGCTGAAAGTCTGTGCCTCATTGCATATTGATTGTTTGATTTGAAATCCACTGTGATGGTGTATAGAGGCAAAACTATCAACTGTATCGTTGTCCAAATACTTTCAGAACTGATTTAATTCGTCACATATACGATGTATAGGATTATTCTTAACAACTCACAATTCTACCTCAAAAAATCCTGTGGCATTGCAACATCTGTGCATCTCTACACATAACCAGGTGTTCAAACAGCTTTTCATACAGTGCAGAAATGATGCATATGCCCATGTATCATTGTGTATATAGTAATATGTCACTGTAGATTTAGCTGCATTTTTCATTTTGTTCTATTTATTATATCAGATAGCTATCACGCTTGTTCTGTTCTGTTCTGTTATAGTCTATAGAAATCTAATAGATGTTTTCCAACACATACAGTGCATGAATTCCAACAAAAACAATTCATTTTAACCATAAGCTACACTAATCTATCACAATATTTTCACACTTGTAACACTACCACTGAGTTAAGTCCATAGTGGCATAAAGTCAGTGAGAACCAGTGTGCTAGCATGTGTCGTTTCATGCACCATTATTCTGTTGTATCACTCACCAGTAAGTCCAGTTGTGTTGACAGGCTGACGGTTTCTATTATGATAGTACCACGTTACCATTTCTGCACTGACCACACACAACCCTCATAATTCATGCTGTCAGTTTGATGAAGGAACTAGTGCAGACTTTATTTGCCCCCTTTTTAGTACCCTCTGAGCACTTATTGCTCACTGTGCTGAAACTGTTAAAGCCTTCAGCAATCAGTCTGTCTCATTTGGCTTGAGTTACATATCAGAAGGATGTGGCACTGGAGAAAAAATGCACAGGCCTTCTCCTTCGGACAAAATGCAAAACAATACATTGTTTTTCCAAGATCTAACCATTCTAAAATCATTAAGATACATAAATATGAGCACTAAAGTCTAAAAAGTATTACCAAAAGCTTAAAGTACTATACTGTTTGCTCGTGCAAATTTAAAGACAGAGAAAAATAGAAAGTAGACTATGCCACTTAAAAGCATATTTATGAAATTATCAACCCATATGATTAAATAAATACAAAAATTAATAATTGTCCTATATATTCGGATAATTATTTATTTAATTGGGTACATCTAATTTCTAATGTGCATATTTGTGTTTGTGTGTTGTTGGATCAATACAGAAGATGAGTGCCTTTAAAAGCTTTATTATTGGTTTTACTGCTTGTCTGCAGTAGGTTTTTAGCAAATTCACATTAAGTACAGAGCAGTATATGTATTTGTATACAAGGAACAGTGATTTTCAGATGTGTACAGCTCAGTCCTGGTTCTGCTATGAGTCACTATGAGCTACATTACCAGGGATTTACCCTCAAAAGAAAGCCTTTTACGCACAACCCTCATTTCATGGTTACTTTTAGCCCTCAGAATCAACAAATATTATTCAGGGGAAAGCATCCATATTCAATTGTAGCTTCTGATAGAAGGACACACATACATTTTATTGTGTTTACCATCTTTTGGTACAATGAAGAAAGAGCTTTCAAGGAAGGTCATTCTATTGTGGTGGATATCATTGAGCAAAACTATTAAACTAAAATAATCCCCTTAAGCATCATAAAACTAAAGCAGAGAAGAGGCCCTACAGTTTTTCAAGTGCTCTGGTTCCTGCAGTTTCCAAGAAGAAAAAGACTTAATTTACCAGATTAAAGTTTATATTGACAGTTTCGTGTGAAACATTTTGTTATTGGTCAGGAAAGCTTGTAAGGTTTTAGGCAAAGAGCTTTAACTCTCACATTAGCAAATGAGCTGGTGCAAATTTTTAAGACATTCAAGACAAATGAGGCTTAAATCACTCTATCAGCCTAGTTCCCCCCTTGAAAGATGTGCCTTTAGGATATATAACCTATGCAGTGCAATAGTATATCACATACACACATGTAATAGTATTTATGAATATTGGTACAACTATCGGTTAGTGGTTAATATAACAGATTATTAACCGATTATATATAACTGATAATTACATATAATCGATTAATGACTTATTTAGGAAGAATGGTTTTTAATTAAATAATCCGTTAAATGTTTTAGGAAGGCAAAATACTCTCATCTTATTACAGCTAGCAGACAGCTGATTTAGCTTAGCAGGCAGCTAGCTTAGCTCACAAGTTTAATCAATAACAAAAGAAAATACCGTAGATTACCATTAGCCACGTTTATTTTTCTAGACAGTATTTCAACTACATTTTGTTCAATTTGCAGAAAGGCCTAAAGTTAAACAAACAAACATGCAGCTTATGTAAAATTTAAAACCATCAATAGGAATGTATAGACGCAGACGTGGACGTTTTCCCGCCATTGATTTTTTTTTCCTTTTGTAGGTATGTGTAAAGCTATATTGTATATCATGTGACATTGTTTGACTTTGTATTTGTTGCATTTTAATGTGTTCACTGAATGTGGTGGATACTTTGGCTGCGAGTCTAAGAACCAGTTGCTTAGCATGAACTGGAACAGCTAGCTTGTTTTGCATTTCTCTCTTTCTATTTCCATTGAATTGAAAACATGAAAAGTTTGTTTTTAAATGTGTGATAGAAATTGAAGGAGCTTGGCTTGACTGGTCTAGTTCTGTCTAAAGATAATAGCTGAAGCGGTATGGTGCACAACCTCCTGCAACAATGAATCTAGTTATTTTTAGGTTTTCCCAGAGGCAATACTTGTTCCTGTCTTTGTAGCTTCATTTATTACATTCCATATAGTAACAACCATTGTATCGCTCATGGCATCTAATTCTTAGCAAGAAAGGGGATAAAAATGTTATATCATTGTTTCATTTTAGTATTGTTTCTTTAGTGTCCCTAAAATCTAATCTTTTGAATGATATTGCAGCTTATTATTTTAATTATGCTTTAACCTAAGGGTTACTTGGCTGGGTGTCTAACTGGAGCATTAGAATCTGTTTAATCCTGAACTATATGAAATGTAGATTGAATTTAGTCTTTTTCTTTATGTTAGTAGAACTGAATAATTTGTTAACTGCCTTAATGAGGCGTGGCTGTTCTTTTGTTCCTTTTGTCAACAGCCCTAGAATTGTAATATAGTCCTGTTCACATACAAGTATTATACAGTGGCCACTTCCAGGCTTTAACTAAGATAAAATGTAGAAAAACACAAATTATTTACAATTGAAATCAATAAAAAATAATATTTACAAGTTACAAAAAAATACAGTATAGCTAAAAGCAAAAATCACATTAGCCGCCTGGAAAGGCATTTGTGATGCAAAATGTAAATACATGATTACACATTTAAGTGCTACAATCTATAGGACAAAAACAGAAATATAATACCATGTACAGTTGTTATTTGAGAATTAAATACAATAACCCTTACAGAGTAATGAGAATACCTTCATTTAAAGTAACACTACAGCATGAAGCTCAGTATGCTAGCGATTAGTGACAATCTGTACTCAGTAGCAACTGAGGTTGGTGAGGACGAGGATTTTATGTAGCAAGCTAATTAATCCTTCAAAGATTCTCCAATGAAAAAAAAAAATCCAAAGAGTTGAAGCTTTAAATATCAACATAAACACAAAATTGAATATGTTTTGATAAATCCTAACCAAGCTGGCAGAACAAAACACAATGCAGAGAGCGCATAATGCACTGAAGAGATGAATGCATACAATTAAACAGTCTAATTAATGCAACTGCCGATTCCTGGGTTTCCCCTTTACATTTAAGTAATCCAAAACTTTTCCACTTGCCCTTGTCTGAATTCATCCCACATCCTTCAACTTGTGTCTCCACTGACTTGCCTTTTATCCGGAGGTCATTGTTCCCAAACAAAGAAGAAACTAGACACCCCTCTTCTTTTTTTCTTTCTCTGTCTTATTAGTCTGTTTGAAGGATTGTCAGTCGCGAGAATCATTGCCCTGGATAAACACAGTCTCCTTTGTGTTTTTGTTAGTTGTAGGGTGCTATAACAAATCAAATAATAATGTAATATCACAGTTAAATGAGACACCCTGAGAAATTAAGAGAAAAAATTGAAAATCCTGTCATTTTTCTTTTGCTTCCTAATCATTTACAGCAGTTTATTTACCGGATAACTGGCTGACAATGAGTTGCTACTTTGTGCATGCTGTTTACTGTTAATGTAGTATTTCATTATCTACAGCGCAAATTACAAATCATATAATTGTTAACATAATTAGGCACACAGATATCTAATATTGGCTACTATTAATGACAACAAACAGTATATGGTCCCTTTGTCACACTGTTCCATACCATATATGGCAGGATCTGATCATTTCTGTGTCCTGTACTATGAACAAGACTGTAAATGCATACATGAGCTAACTGTGTATGCGTTTGTGTGTGTATATGTACACTACATGCATGCAAACCTAGATACTGTATTTGGGTATCTATTTCAAGTATGTCTATATCTGGCGTGTGCATTTGCCTGCATATCTACATATTGTATACATGGTTGTTACTTGTGTTTTGAATTCCAGGTCTTTCCCTTTTCTGGGTCAGCATGGAGTCTGTCTCTGAGTTTCTGTTATGTAGACAGGTCTGAGCACACAGGCTGGAGTCACGTTGCCTCCATCAGTGACCTGGCCCCACAGTCAGCCCCAAAGTCCAGGCAGTTAGCACTTGCTGGGGGAAAAAAGGAGTTCAGAAGCCGATTAAGAGGAAGCTGACACTGAGATAAACGCTACTGCTCCATCTCTTAGATCTAATACAAATATTTAAAAGGACGGTAAAAGTTTTTTTTTCCTTCCTTTTTTTTGGAAAGAGAACAAGTTCATTGAAATGTATCCAAACATCACTTCCTCAGGTTGTCACATTTGCAAAGATCCAGACATTCAGTGGTATGCAGGCCTCGTCCAGTAGGAGTAACAGGTTCAAGCCATTTGTCAACTTAAATTTAAACAGTGTACTTAAACATGGCATTAAAACAATATAACTTGTGAGTTAGTGTCTGAGGAAAATCTTTGGTAGCAGAGATGGGAAAGTACAACACAGACTTATGAAAGGGTAGCAATGGCTGGATGAAGATAATATTAAAGATGCAGAGGACCAAACTGGAGAAAGAATAAGAGTCAAGATTTAAAGAAAAACCTTAACTTCAGGCAGGTAGATATCCAGTGGAGTAATTACAGACATTTGTTTTTTAAGCTTCTTTCTTTGCAAATTTGCTGTATATTTTGTGGATAAATGCAGATTTGGTTTCACATAGCGATATCTATCTGTCAGTGTTTGTCTGATTCCCTGTATTATCCCTTAATTTGACATGATTTTTCTGGATTCACAGCACTGGATCATCACTGTGATTGGTAGCTTCATAAGTGAATATAGCATAGAGGAATAGGAGGCCACAGAGGAATATTTTAAGGTTCAGGTGTTAACATGTGAAATCACTGTTGAGCTTTAAAAATAAACAAAAATCACACTACAGAAGTGGCTGTTGTTTTGGTGGCAGTTGGGCTGAGCACCAGGCTCTGAGCGACGTCTTCACGATTGATTTTGCGCAGCGCCGTGCACAGAGCTTCGATGCTGGCACAGTCCTTTCCCGCCCAGTCAGACAGGAGGGCACAGACCGGATGCTCTTCCTGCTGGAAGGTCGCGATCCGCTCCTCCTCGTATCCGAGAAGAGCCGCCAAGCTGCTCCAGTCGCTGTCGTGCATGTGGTCGCAGTCTTCTCCGTCCGCAGCCCTAAACAGCAGCTTCTCCACTTTCTCTCTGGTGTGGAGGGGAAGAAGCAAACAAGGCTCTTCATCGATGTTGACGACTGCAAAAGGAAAAAAACAAACACAATTATGCATTTTTATTTAAGTTTAAGCACACAGATAACAGCATAATATCTTATTGAACAAAGAAAATATTTTATTCACTTGATGTGATCCACAGAGCGATGGCAGCTGTGCACAAATAACTACAGGACTGTGAGTCATCATTACTAATCGGATTACTTTCTAAATATGGTTTTTATGCAGACAGTACATTCTTTGTCAATATCAGTGTCAAACAACAAGCTCTGATTCACTTTTAATGGCCATTAAATGAAGAAAATGCTTCTTGTTCCCAACTTATTCACCTTGCTCTGACAGATCATGGTTTTAGGACTCATCACTTTGTCCTGTGCAATAATAACTCCGTCAGCAAGGGACTTCACTCTTTAATATTTATAAAAGCGGTCTGTATATTTCAGATGGCTTTTGCGGTTTAAGTAAATTCATTGCCCTACAATATCTCAGGAGTGCCTCATTAATAAAATTCCCAGAGCTTGCCAAACTAAAATGACTTATTTATGGTTTCATGCCTTTACTGGCAGCCAAACTGCAGTTTGTACAGCCAGACTGACATAGTGTATGGTGTTGAATAGGACAGAAAACATTATGATGACACTCTGACATCACTTCATTTTTTTACTATGAGCTTTTTGTGTAAAATTTCTTATGATTTTGAAAGTTTTGTGAGGTTTTGATGATTCTGATCTTTGAACTCCATATGATAATTAGTTCATCCTCATCCGTCAAATCCCTGATTGAAATAATTATTACTGCACAGGTCCAAGTGATGAGTCCCAAAACCGTGACATATAAGAGCAAGGTGAATAAGTTCAGAACAAGAAGCATTTTCTTCATTTAATCCCCATTAAAGAAGAATCTGACAAATCTGCACAGTCTGCATACAAACTATAGAAAGCAAAGGTTTGTTTCGAATTTAACCTTGTAATGCGACACGTATCATATTTGATACATTAGTTCTTGTGAGGTTCTGAGACCTCTACATCATCAATGTAGAAAAAAATGCACAAAAAATGCAAGATTTAGTAATTATAATACATTTTTATTGTCGGAAGGTTCAATAAACAATCCAGTGTAAAAAAAAAAAAAGAATTTTCTGTCAATTGTCTAATGGTTGTTTACAGGGTCAAAGAAATGTACTCAGAGATATTCCACTTATGAGAATGGGACTAACAGAGTTGATGCCTTCAGCTGTTCACCTCTATGTGATTTAAAAATAGATCACATGGTTTCCTTGGCTGATTTTTAATTAAGCTCTATTTATTTTTTATTTTCATTTAACCTTTATTTGTTCAGGTAATCTCACTGAGACTCAATGTCTCATTTACAAGAGAGACCTGCTTCTAAACTGAATAAGCCTGTGCAGGCTATGGGTGCGCCTTACAAGAAGTGAACATTAACATTTTAAGTAACTGCTTTGCATGTACTACAAGAAAAGAATCCATCATTGGTCCCAATACTACAGATTACACTTTAAGATATCAAATCTACTTCTAATTGTGTTTTTCCAAATATAAACAGGCTTTTCAGGACCTGATCTGCTAAAATAACACTGAAGGTCTGAAGGCTTCATCGCTGTTGTAATCCTCTCCTGCTGATTTGCTACAGTAAGTAAGTTTTCCTGAGAGGGGGGAGGGTGGGCCTCTTTTCGTAAGACACTGACCCTGTTTAGGGTGCAGCCTACGGTTTATATACTTGCACTGAAACCCAAATTTCTGGTTTGCTGTCCATCAGACTTATCATATGTTTACACCCAGTTTAAGCACATTAGTTTGATAAATGAGGGCTATCGTGTTTCTCAGCGCTATGACAGCGGCCCCTGTGTCGTTATACTGTGGATGAGTTTTAACCTGTTTGTGCCTGATTCTGGCCCTGCTGCTCCTGCAGACTCTGGCTGTCCACAGAAATGCCGCTGTCACTGTGTAGCTTCTCCCCCTCGGGTGACGGGGTCTGGTTCGGGTTGGGGGTGCAGTTGTTGGCTCCTTGCTTATTCTGCTTGCAGCTGTTCCACCTGTATGTGAACGAATCAGCACAGAGACTCATCATACCAGAACTGTTAACACACAAACAAGTTTCCTCTTTTTAAATTATGTTACGTACACAGCATATAATCAGTGAGCTGCAGCTGGATTATAACTGTATGGGTTCAGTATGAGTATCTTTCACGTACACTGTTAGAGCAGGCCTACTGTGTTGTTGTGTGTCTCCATAAGGCTGCAATATGGGTGTTTTTCTCATTTACCGGAATTTAGCTCCTTTATTTCTATTGTTATTCGTGTCTTCGCTGGACATAGTGTTTACCAGTCTCATTACCCTTTTAATAAAATCTTATTAATATTATTTTTTTAACCCAAACATTTTCAGCCATTTCTTGGAATGATACCATTTTCATGTAGCCATTTATTCTACAGTAAATATGAAAGTAAAACATAACAGATCTCATCATAGCACAGATGACTTCTGCACTAACCTCTCACAAGATTTTGAGGAAACTTGACCTTGAGGTCAAGGT